TGACAATAGAACATGACGAGTAATAGAGATCAAATATCGATGAAATATCGAAATATTCTAAACGCACGCGTACATCTCTGTGTGTTTCGCGTTGTGTGGAGGCAGCTTAAGCGAACGACTAATTGTGAATGAACGAGCACACTGGATAGACGAAACGAATCATCCAGTCGCCGGTGTTCGATCTCTCGATCGGTACATACATACATACATATATATATATATATATATATATATATATATATATATATATATATCACCTTGTGATCGCCGTTCGCGTCATCGATCAAACCTTTCGCCTTTGTTTTGCCAAAACACGTGTCAGGCAATAAGATTCGTGCCTTTCGGACTGACTATACCGCCATTTCTGCCATTTTCCTCGTCAGCTGTCCGTTCGTCATCCGTTCTCGTTATTCCACGTTGTGCGCCACTTGGATGAATTTTTTACTCGCAACGAAGGAGATCGTAATGGATGATTTAATAAAGGTGGCTTTGCTAGGTGATTTTGAGGTGCAGGTGTTTCTTTTCTTTTTTTTTTTTTTTTCTTTTTCGTACAATGGAGTTTTTTGGCGGATCATAGATAGTAAGGGTCTATCGTTTTTGTACATTTTTTTTTTATTTTGTCAAATTTATGACAGGTACGTGTGCTTCAGCGTCAAATTAAAAGTAATCACGCGCTTTGCGTAGATCAGAAATTTAGAAAATTTAGCAACGAGAATCCCATAATGTTCTTTCGATATGTCACAAACAACTATTTATGTAAAATGTTATTTTGTGCATTTTTATCTAAATAATGTAATCGCGACTACTTCAAAATAATTCAAAATAATTCACCGTATCATTTAATTTACTTAATTTAAAAATGATTCACCATGAACGAAAACTCGTTTTTCTACGAGATATTTCTCGCTTTGAGATATAAAAATAGGATCGGCCACCCAATGGAAACTTAATTGTTATTTTAGAGATACAGATGACACGGCGTAATCAACGTGTTAAAAGACGTTCAACTAAACTTGTTTCCAAATAAAACGACCAATCAATGTTAATTGCGATATTGCCTTAATCTGGCTTGCTGCAAATATACTTTTGCCTCGATATTCGAGGTTCGTTTTCGTTCAAATGTTTCGTTTCAGATAAGACGCGCACGACAAAGAACACACGGTTTTCGTCGTTATTTACGTTACAACTTTACATTTACATTCCAATGCAACAGAGTATTCTCTGTCAGTCATAGATTAGATAACCAATTACTGGTAAAAGAAAAAAAAAACATTACCACGAATCAAGTATTTCAAATTTATAATAGATTAAAAGTAGTATCATATTTTGACACGAACATTGTTTTCACAAGAAATTAAATTACGATTTACATTGTCAGACGTTTAGATTATATCGCGCGATTAATTTTCAATAGCAAGTGGCAAATGGTTCGATATATTCGATGTAATGTATTCGACTGATGATAAAGTCACGAAGGGAGATGCATCGTTATAAATAAACAGAATAGCGAAAAATTTCTTAATGCTCTTGCACGAAGATTGACTTAGAGCCAGCGTCGAAAGGAACGAGAGGAAAATGAAAATTAATAAGCGGCGAAGCGAGCGGCTACCGTCAGGCGTATATTTTTCATCATCTTTCGAGACGCAAACGAGAGTGAATTTATCATGTTTTGCGTTGAAATTACGCGTCTGAAGATGTACATTCGTGCGCGCCTACGTGTACGATTATTCCTATACTGAGAGACCGACGTTTAGAAGAAGTTGAATAACAGGTTCGGTAAATTAATTAAAGTCCAATTACACGGAAAGCTTTGGAATTTCCTTAGTTAGGGCAGAGAATGTTAAGTGTACATTTTTATCCCGCTCCTACCATACATTCGTACCATTACATCGACGCGGGGCGCACTGTATCTTTCCGTGGTAAAAGAGATAGAGAAGAAAAGGCGGGGAAAGGAAAGAGGAAGGAAAGAGGGAAGAGAGAAGAGAAAGGAGAGAAGGTACATGACGTTAAACGAACCCTTTGGTAAATTAATTAAAGCTTGAATTAATACAAGAAGTTCCCTTTTAACCGGATCTTTTTTAGCCGAAGGTTAACGAGGTTCTTCCAACGATTCTCCGGGCTTACTCCAGGCCCGATGCGCAATGCAATTACGCTCGAAACAGTGAAACTCGCTGGAAAATTGTCCCGCGCCTCTGCACCTTGTTCGACGTCGTTACGTCGTTTCGGTTTCCATCGGGAAAGAAATTTCACCGAATGTAGAGCGTGCATCATCGGTGAAACGCTGTTGCGTAGTGAAATGGGAATTTGATGTTCCTTTGGTGTCTTCTTCTTTTTCTTCGCAGATTTACCTTTGTCGTGCATTCTTTCAATATTTTCATAAAATTTGGAGAGACCTTTTGATAGATACGATTCCTTGAGAAACAAGTCGAAGAGCATAGCAGATTTAAAGGAGTTGATTTACTCGAATTTTTAGACACTTTTACAAAAGTCTTACCTTTGAGATATCTTTTTTTCAATATTTTCATTAAATTTAAGAGACTTTTTGATAGATACGATTCCTTGAGAAACGAGTCGAAGAGCATAGCAGATTTAAAGGAGTTGATTTACTCGAATTTTTAGACACTTTTACAAAAGTCTTACCTTTGAGATATCTTTTTTTCAATATTTTCATTAAATTTAAGAGACTTTTTGATAGATACGATTCCTTGAGAAACGAGTCGAAGAGCATAGCAGATTTAAAGGAGTTGATTTACTCGAATTTTTAGACACTTTTACAAAAGTCTTACCTTTGAGATATCTTTTTTTCAATATTTTCATTAAATTTAAGAGACTTTTTGATAGATACGATTCCTTGAGAAACGAGTCGAAGAGCATAGCAGATTTAAAGGAGTTGATTTACTCGAATTTTTAGACATTTCTACAAGTCTCACTTTTGACGTACCTTTCAATATTTTCATTAAATTTAAGAGACTTTTTGATAGATATGATTCCTTGAGAAACGAGTCGAAGAGCATAGCAGATTTAAAGGAGTTGATTTCCTCGAATTTTTAGACATTTTTACAAAAGTCTTACCTTTGAGGTATCTTCTTTCAATATTTTCAGTAAATTTAAGAGATATTTTTTGATAGATACGATTTATTAAGAAACGAGTCGAAGAGTACAGCAAGGTCAAAGGAATTTATTTTTTTTTCGAATTTCGACATTTTCACGAAAACCTAACGAGCATCATTGCTTCGTCGATCCTTCGATGAAATCTGAATCAAAGTCTACCAAGTGCACGCCGCGCAAAGTTTTTATTGTATCGAACGTATCTACGATCTCTTTGAAACGTTATGTTAGCGAGCGATGCAAAAGTACCTTGTACCACGCGATCAAAGTGAATCGAACCGTCCGATAACCCGAGGATTTTAATAATCGTCGGTTTAGATATTGCAGCCTTGGTATGTCTCTGTCGATCGATCGAAAAAGAGCTTAGCAAGTAAAAGAAGAAGAAGAAGAAGAAATTCGAAAATTTTTATTTCGTGATACACGCTTCGCTCTACGCGAATTAAAACCGTCCGCTCTGTCAACGTTGATTCGAAAGAGAAAACAAGATTGCTCGTTGCAATCGCGTTTGAAAATTGAATGCGTGAGGTTCCGAATGTGTAAACACGCCGGCAGATAATTCGACGAGACGGATACGGGCGCAGATTTAAATGGAAAATTGTCAGTAAACGGATTAATCATTGGTTTACAGTGGCAGCGTGGATGACAGTGTGGAAAGTAACGCGGACTTTAACTAGCAAACACAATCGCGATAACGCCAACGTTGTCCAACTATCATGTCCCGTTGCAACATGCCCGATGAGAAAATTTGTTGTAATTTTATCCGATTAACGGCGTGGCCTTATTTCTCGAATAATTAACTTTCAAACAGGCAAGGTGTGCCACGGGGGAGGTTTTGTTCTCTCTTTCGACGTCAAAACGGGGTCGGGATGTCAACTGCAATACGTAGAATTTGTTTACACGTTTACAGACGATTTAACTTTTAAGCAATTATGCTCGAACGAAAATTTTAATTAACGAATTACAGTTGGTTTAATGTTACGTTACGGACGAAGAGCAACAGATAGTAGTCGCTGCAGGAGAAAATGAACGAAATGGCGCCAACTTCAACTGCACGCATGGACACGTTTATTTTAATAGTGGTGCAGGTCCATCTTTCCAGACATGGAAAACTGAGAAGACTTTACTTTAATGCAAACTTTCTCTGTCCGAGCAATTTATAATTTCACTTATAGTTTCGACTGAAATTGAAATTTCGTTGAACAACCGATAAATACTTGCAGACACTTTTCAGTGTGTCGAAATAAAAGGAAATGGAATAGAGTGCATCTGTTTATTTCGAAATAAATGATCCGTACGTATATGTAAATTATTTGTCCTTGAATTGATTCGGATAAGCGGAATTTCGATGGAAACGCATCGCGTATCCCAACAGCGTTACAGTCGCAAAGTAATTCAGCCTTTGAGGAACATTGCCAGCGTCGCAGCGTATTAATGACGTTTTAAAGTTCGAACGAACGCAGCCTCGACGGCGTTTTAAGATGATTTGATTTAGCAGGAACGCGAGAGGTTCCCGAATTTGAACGACGTCAACCAAATTCCTGAAAGACGTCACGACAAGCCTGCTGAAAAACGTCACCGCGCGTTCCTTTGCCAGCCGACGCGTTATTAATATGTACCGACCGAGCCGGATAGAGCTCGCTGCCGGAAATGGATTGTGCATGAATATTGCTTCGAATATTCCAGGATATTGTTTTGATAATTTCGCACGTTTGTCGAGAGTCGGTCGCAACCCGGTGCCCTCGTTGAATTAGTTTGCTGTTTTAGCAATAGTTCGTGTTTGCGAATTGAGAATGGCACCTCCGCAAACCGAAAATGAATTGAATCAGAGAAATCAGAGCAATGCGCAATTAAAACGCGAGTGACAAGGAAAAAGAAAAATAAAACACGATATCTTTAATAAAGAAAAAAGAACGTAAGTTGGAACATGCAAATGTCAAAATGTCTGAAATATTCAAATTCGTAAAAATTTGATATGTATTCGTATCCTGTTGTCAACTCTACCTGATTTAAATATTTCTACCATTTTGTTCAACTCTGTTTGCGAATCGAGAATAGCACCTCCGTGAAGACGTGTCGCAAATCGAAAATAAATTGAATCAGAGGGCAATGTACAATTAAAACGCGAGTGACAAGGAAAAAGAAAAATAAAATACGATATTTTTAATAAAGAAAAAAGAACGTAAGTTGGAACATGCAGATGTCAAAATGTTCGAAATATTCAAATTCGTAAAAATATGACGCGCGTTCGCATCGTATTCTCGACAAAATATTTCCACCATTTTGTTCAACTCTGAAAAATGATGAAAATCCTACGTCCTTAATTTTTGTGAACGTTTTGTTTGATCGTTCTCTTCATAGTATTTAAACAATGAAACAAACAACTTTCTTCGAGTTTTCTCTCGCCCGAAATTTTCATTCGTAAATTTTTTACAGCGTTGTTTAGGCGTGCAGCTGCGTAAAAATCGAATTGGAATAAGATTCAAAACAATTCGTGAACACTGATGAATTGGCAAGTTGAAATTAGCTGACGAAGAAGTTGCGCGCGTAACCACATTCGATAACATTATGACCGTTGCTCCGTTCGGAAAAAATAGCATTCGAGTCGAGAGTCCATCCTGACTCGAAGCTCTTTCTCGCTTCAAAAACTTCGTAAAAGTTTTCCCAAAAGTTTTCTACATGAAATAGCAGTCTCTTCTCGATCCATTTTTGTCTATTTTGTCGAGGCTTCGGCAGTCATTTTCTGAAAAATCACGGAAGAAAGTTGCGTTGAAATATAAAACAAAATATAATAATACATTTCATATAAAATATACAATATGTTTGATATAAAATATAAAAAAGAGAGACGATTGAAATTTAGTCGTCGGAAGCGAAGCAATTTACCAAGGAACCGAGCATTTTTTCGAGGCGACAACGATCTCGATGGCTAGAAATCACACCTCACGTCGGGTTTTCATCTACGGGGAGTGTTATTCAATTTTCATTTGGACGATCGATCCTCGATGATCCTCCAGTGACCCATCTCTCTTTCTTTCTCTCTCTCTCTCTCTCTCTCTCTCTCTCTGTCTCCGGGGATTCTGAAGCGTATATTTTCCTCTTTGCGGATTCCCATCGTCGGGCAACTTGTTCGATGATCAAAGGAGCGGTCGCCAGGACGTATCGCTGTGAAAATCGTGTTACGGATCCTCTGTGCTGCCGCGTTTTCGAGGGGACGGCAAACAAACAGCCAACAGCCGGCTCCTTTGTATCCTTTGATCACACGCTGGTGGATCAACGTAACCAATGCACGTGCAACGCGGTTATCCTTGCGAGCGAGCTTTAAAAACAGAGCACGATGGAAAATGGAGAACAGGACGGTCGTGTTTCCACTGGCCGGATGCTGGCACAATGATATCCTCTGTCGTTGCATCCGGCGGCGGATGCAGCGGACGTTGTTCCTTAACGGAAAACGCGACGCTCTTTAGTTTTCGGAGAGTATCGGAAATGAGCGACCGAGGCGCGGAGACGACAAATCGAATGGACGTTGCACAAAGGGGTGGAAATTTCGTTTGCGGGGAAGAATGGGAATCTTTCCCCTTTGATATTTTTGGCAGGAATACGTGGAAATCTATAAGAGAGGAAATTCGATCGTCCAAGAAACTTGGAAACGGAAGAACGAAATGACTAAAGCAGTGTTTCTTCTTATTATTCGAAATATCGTGAATTTTTAACGTTAACCTGCCCCAAAGGACGTGACATCCGTGAACGAAAAGAAAATGATAGAACGGAAGGACAGTACCTTGAAGTATCTTGAAGAAATCGCTAAGAAAATTGTTAAAAAGAAGGAAAGAATAAAAGTAGTGCCTACTGATACCTTCGATCATTTAAAATAAAAGTGCTTATATAAATAAAACAAAATCAAAATGTAAATTCGACTTCATCTCAAGGTGAAGTGCAAAAGATTCACTGTTAACAACTCGTTCTCGAGATTGCCCCTCCAAGATCAAATTTGCCCCTCTTGTAGACTCGAAGCAAACGTTTCGAAATTTCGAATCCTCGGTTCCTCGACGTATAAATCTCGTTGCAATCTCGTCGCCACTCGTTTCGTTTCCTTTCAATTCGCCTCTCGCGATTCTGTGTCACGTACGGAACACTTCCGGTCCCACCTGGCTCTCCCGACTTTCTCACTTGCCGCGGCGGCACAGCGTCGACGATTAACGAGAAGAATGAATATCGATTTCCGCGCTGTCAGCTCTTGCCTCAGCTTCCACCGCGCGTTATCGGTCAAAAATAGAAAATTCTTATGAATATTCATATAAATATTCCGGCAACACGTTATAAAAATCATTACGTAACGTTCGATAGCCTGGATAGGATGGATAGTAGACCATAGTTCACTGTGGTGAATTATGACACAGTGGAATTTACAGAGAGTAAATTTATTTGCGCCAGTTTTATCTATGTATCTTACAATATAATTAATAATTATTTGATGATGATATATACATGTTCTCACACGTGTTTCGCTATTGATGATGTTTAGTATTCGACAATACTAATGAGAAGAGTGTGCTACACGCACAGTGTCTTAATCCAGTAGCGTCGCTCGTATCTATAGCACCCGGTGCTATTCACTATCCAACAGTCATGCTTTGTGAATTTTCTCTCGAGAAAGCAAATAGTCGAAAGGGCTATTAATTTCATGGCTCTTTTTTTAGATCTAGAAATTTTATTTCCTTTCGATCTTCAAGCTTGAGAGACTCAGATTGCGGGATTGTTTTCATCGACCGCGAACAATCGTCGCGTTGTCCCACGCAACGCTATCGACGTGGACAAAAACGCGCAGATACGATTTCAATTGTTCCTAATTGCGTTCCGCATCTTCCGCGAGGAGATTAGAGAAACAACTCGGAGCATTCGAGAAATGTCGCATCGCGGCGACATATGTCAATGCGGAGGAGCTTATCGGAGCGAATTTTTATCGAACATTATCGAACTTTTATTCAGCGTGATCAAAGGAAACGATTATTCAGCCTGCGCGTTGCACAATCGTCGAGCACGAGCAACGATAAATCTGTTCGCCAACAATTTTGTTTATTTGACGACAACTTCGTTTGCTGAAACGGTTGTCGAATTTTGATGGACCCGGGAGGAAAAGTTGGAACTTTCGAAGTTCAAGATAAATAAATTTAACTTGATAATTAGAATTAAGTAGCCATTCGTATACCCGGCTGCAGACTTTTATACATTTGAAAGTGCAAAATCGCATAGAATGCAATAATAAAATATACAAGGTGTTTCGTAACTTGTGATACCCACTTCGGGAGCTAATTGTACGCCTAAAAATAATGAAAAAAAGTCATAGAAATATATGTCCTATCTGTCTTCGTTTATGAGATATAATGAATTTTATAAACAGAGCAAACTCTAGTAAGCCAGTTTTACC